ACCTCTTCATCCTGCTCCCTTTTCTTTTTATACTTCCTATTCACACTGCCGGCTGGCAAGAAAAGTACTGTCATTTCTCTTTCTGCCCTAAGAGAATCAACACACTGTAGTTGCATTGAAGTTCTGCTTTTTTTCTTGGCTCTATTTCAGACCTATAACCTGGGGGTAAACATGCAATTAAAATAACATCGGCCTGCTTTCAGCACCACTCTCCTCTTCCGCAGCAGCAGTAGTTAGCACCAGCACCGAACAACATGGTGACTTGGTTCTCCTAATTGCTTTTGCTTTTAATTGGCATAGAAAGCTGTAAATATTGCGCCAGTGATAAGTTCATCGTCATGTTGTTGTTTTTATCTATTTATAATAGCTGTATGTCGACTTAAAATGAGCTTCTGTGGCTTTTCATTATTTATAAATGCTGGGTGATTTTCATCTGGTTTGATTTCCTCTGTAATGATTATCAAAGTTGGTTCCCTAAATATTTCCCACATCATCTCTTTTATAAACTTCCGCCTTGTTCTTTAAACAGTATTGCTAAAATAAGGCAAAATGTAGGTCAGCTTTTATGGGAACAATTTGACACAACACGCGACATCCCTCGCTCGAGCCGTGCTTCGCTTTTTGGTGTTATTGAAAATGCAAGCCTCAGTTTTGTGTTTTTGTAAGTAGCCCGTGGCGACTTGCCGAGTCACCCTCCCCCCCTCCAAAAAAACAAACAAACAACAACAAAAAAAAAAAAACTCAGGGAACCCTGTGTCGACTGTCTGTGTAGGGCTGATAGTGTGCGATGCCTGGCTAAACTCCACCAAAGCGATGCCTGCATCACAGGCCTGCTCTGTTGGCTCGGACCTGATGATGAAACTACAAATGAAAATCAATTTCCACACAAGGCAGAGCGAGCTGTGTCCCAGCATCACAAAGGCTACTAAGCCCCCCCTCCCTCACCCCTTGTTTGTCTGGAGGGGATGATGGCTGGAGGCTTCAGACCAGACAGAACCCCCTGCCTGGTTGGCCATAGGGCAATCCAGAACAAGAAGAAGCCTGCAGCCAAGTCAGTCAAATGCTGGCTACCACCTGCAGAGTGGTGCCAGAGACAGCTCAGTCCCTGTCTGGGTCGTCTGTGTCATAGTGTTCGGAACAGCCTTCACTCGAACCTGGTAAAGTTCAATATCACTCTGATTTATTTCTTTATTTATTTGAGTTTTTTTTTTCTTTTTATTTATGTAGTTGAGAATTATAGCCTTGGAAAAAAGGCCATCGAGTGTCAGTTTCCACCAAGTCGCCCGGTTCACCTCTCTATGACACTCCATTTTACATCTTCTGGATGTGACCACGAAATAATAAACCCTTATTGTATTCCTTTTTTTTTTTTTTTTTGCGGGTATCAATACAGTTATACGGTAGCGCAAACCGTTGTCCTTTTCATCAGTCCATTCCACACAAAAGAGACTTCCAGTGAATCAACAATCGATTTCCACTTGCCACTTATGTGTAACACGTAAGAAGAAAATGCTGTATGTCCTCCATCGTTGTTGTGGTTGTTTTTTTTTTTTTTTTTTTTTGCTCTGTTCCACCTGATAAGAATTCGTGCTATCTTTGTAACACCAGCTTATCCTTGACAAGCTCCAGTGAAATGAAAACTGTTCCAAATCGTACCCTGGCAAGCCGATAGAGGACAGCTTGGTGAAAACGTGACATCAAGTTAGATCCACACGTGAATGTACGAGTTGCTGCGACGGTGGTGCCGATACTGACGGCTGGCTTTCCCCTCCCTCCTTGCTCTGCGCTCTAAGGCGGAGTGTCAGCTGGGGCATTACCATAGGCTGACCTTTGCCGCCGCACTCCACACTGCAGTGTTTTCTGACATTCAGGGGCACTGTGGGGGAGACAGGAAGAGGGTGGACTGATGGCCCGGTGGCTGTTTCTCGCCTGTAGTGGGTTGGTGTCTGCATGTCCTTTTAACAGACACGGCGCTGGCTTAGGCTGGCATTTTATTTCTCGCGGCATCAATCAAATGCATTTGTCACCGTTTTCGGTTTTGAAAAGCCCGAGCAAAGGCGGCGCTGTATTTGATGTGTGGTTTTCTTCCAACATGGGCACCGCTTGTTGCCAGAGAGAGAGTGCCGTTATCTTTATGTGAAATCCTGGCACCCTGATAAATGAAAGCTGGAAATCCTGCCGACTGACATCAAGGCGCTGTGTACCTAAAACTCCTTCCAAGGCTGAGGAAAAAAGAAAAACATATCAGACCAATTAAAGTTAATGCATGGTGACACAGTAAATCGAGAGCAGGGATTGCTGCCATATGGTGGTCCAGGCTGTAAATCAGAAAGCCAGGCAAGGGAGGAGTGAGAGGCTCAGCGAGCAGAAAGGGCGCATGCAGCATCAAACAAAATTGTCCTATCTATTGTAAGACTGGCGCTTTACACCCACCAATCTAATCTTTTTTTTTTTCTCTTCCCCATACCCCCTACCCCCACACTGCCACTTTGGCCCTGCAGCACCCCAAGGTGCAACGCTCGCAGGTATCTGTGTAGAAGTGGCAGCTTCATTAAGGCTTGTTTTTTTTTTTTTTTCTCCTCTCGCCAGGAGGATTTAAATGAGATGTCGTCCTGACCTTTTTGAGCTCCTGCTTTTTAAAGCAAGATCAGCCCTCCCCAAACCTGCCACCTGCCCTTTCTATCTTTCCACCTCTCTCTATCTCACTTTGTCACCCTTCCCTATACTTCCCCCCTTTCCCCGCAGGGGGGGAAAGACACCTTTAAGCCATCACAGGCATGCCAAGGTTGTTTTGTGGGTAATTGCATCCCTCATAGACTCTGTTTGTCTGCACACACTTGCCACACTCCGCTGATACCGCGCAGTAAAAGGAGAGAGGGCACCAACTCTTTCGACTTAATTTGCTCCCTGACTGTTCTTTAGTGCTGATTAAGCAAGCATCTGTGTTGTTTGCAATCCAGCAGTAAGCCAAGTGGAGCATAGCTAATGCTTTCTCCCTCTGTTTTACATCAGGGTTATTGCACAGAGTGGCAGGCATTTATTGAAGCTGAAGCCTCATTTCTTTCTTTTCACTCCACCCGGGTCCGGCTCCCCCTGTCTATTGTCGCAGAAACTTAACGCCTCCCTGGCTCGGTGAGACCGCGGTATCGATAAGAGACGAGCTTGTCAGCAGTGGGCCTCTTGAGTGTGTCCTTTTAAAATGAACAGGACTCGTCAGTTTGCTCTGCTGCGGGCTTGTAGGGGACTAAGAGGTAAAGTGCAGGTAGCAGTGTCCTACAAGCAGACTAACATGTAGGGCGAAGATGTGTGTGTGTGGGGGGGGGACTCCATTTAAACCCGCTTTCCCTCAGGCTCATTTGACTTCTGAGGTTTGATGTTTAATTCAAGTTGTTAACAGCATCAAATGTCACCTTACCTGACGCTCCAGGTGCGAATCAGTGTGTAATTCAACAGACTTCCTAAGGTGTCTGCCTGTGGGGATACGTTCTTTTAATCAGCGCTGCTTCTGTATTGCTAAGCAACCTAACCAACCCCCCCCCCCCACCTTCTTTTTTCTTGCTTTCCGCAGTGTGAGGAGAAGTGCGTGCCCCATGTTGCATTAGTGTCTGTGTGAAATGCTGGCCTGTCTGCCAGGGCCAGGTGACCTCCCCCTCCAGCTTCTCCCCCACACGCAGATGAACACTGGACTTCAGAAATGTAAGTAGTGATGAACCACCAGCACCATCCCACACAGCAAACCAATCTGTGCCATTCGTGCCAGCATGCCTCCTCAGCCTGGTTCATGTTTTGAGCGAAGGGAAAAAAAAAATCACCATGGGCTTCTAGGATCGCAAATTCTAGTTTGCTACCATAAAGGCTCAGAATTCGCATCGCTTGTGGATGCCCTCGGTCTTGGTCTGATGACAAGCGTCCGGGTTTAGGAAGAGAATACTCTCAAGTACGCCAGGCACGAGTCTTTTGATATTAAACAGATATTAGACTGGATTCAGAATGAACAGCAATGAGTATTTACAAGGGGAAAAAAGTAGCTTTCATTTTAAACATGTTTTGACAGTAATTTGATATATGGTGTAATTTAAGGCCGACATACTGAGGATGGCCAAACATCGATTTATTCAAAATAGATACATGGTTTGCTCGGATGCCCATTTTTAGAAATTAGAATTAATTTTGTGAAAAGGCATGCTTGTCGGCGCTTTCGTTCCCTCTTCAAAGACCTGAATGCATTTTGTCAAAATAACACCTGTGTTTTCATGGACGCCGCCGAAGCTTTCTTAACCCCAATCATAAATGGACTGTCGTAGCGCACCATGCTTTTCCAAATCACTCACATAAATCAGTCACTTGTCAGACATGGATTACAGCTCACGCCGTGCGCCATTCAATCCTAAAAAGTACCTCTCCTCCTTTTTTTTCCCCCCCTTCAGTAAAAACTCAGCGTGACCCATTTCTATGGTGGTTTTTTTTTTTTTTTTTTGTGCAAAAAGCTCCAGCTCATCAGGACTGTAATTTCAGAATCCCAGTAATCAGCCAACCCCCTGGGAGATCAGCAAGCATGAGGGAGTCTGCTAAGTGCCAGCGTCTGTTTCCTCACTCGGGCAGGCTTGTGACCATGGTTGCCGCCATCAGTAGGACTGTTTCCCTGCTCCAAGACACGTCCGAACTCACAGGGCAAAAATGAAGTTCTGTTTGTTTGTTTTTTTTTCCCTGTCCAAATCTCTAATCCCTTTTGGTGACAAATGTGCTTCACACAGTATGTTTGGTCTTAGGTATGTCATTTCAAGCCATTGTTTTTTTTTTCCCTCTCATCATTCATTCATTTCTAATACTTTCCCTTTTTTCTTCTGCTCTTCAAAGAATCATTAGGAGTCTGTGTCGCTTCAAAGAAATGCATGGCTCATTTAGGCCAAGTCCTTTTTCGTTATTTCCCATCTACTTTCCATTCTTCTTATACATTTCAGGGTCACTTGAGACCAGCGAGTCAATCACAGATCACAGGTTGGACTAGGGTGCGAATGGGGAATCAGCTGCCATGTGAACCGCTACACTGTCAGTGTTTTGATACCGTTGCAGACTAATCGGCTTCCTGTCGGCGTTCTCTGTGCAGTTTTACTCAGAAAAAATGGAACAGGGCTTTGACATTCCTGGCCTCGAACGTCTGCATGAAAGAGACATGCTTTGCCACACTATGTTAGTCGTCACTTGAAAGCAAATGAATGAGCTCCTGTTTTTGTTTTTTTTTCCATTTGCGGACTGTGTACTATAGTCCCACAGAGGCCTGATCTCTGTCCGTAACACTTTCCCTCAATTTTTACCAAAAGCTCCAAGACCACCAGGCTCGCCACGCTCAGCCACTGCGGAGTCCGTGCATAAGAGAAGTCGATTAAAAGTTACGACCTAGCAGGTTGCTGTCAGCGGCAAGGCCAGAGCAGCTGCACTATTTATCGTTGCAGAGTGCCTGTTCGCAGATGATGGCTGTGAAAGGCAAAGGCTGTCCGAGGAGTCTATCAGGTGCACAGAGATCCAAAGGGGTCGCTATGCAAAGGGCTCATCCTGCAGGCAGGATGTCTCAAATACCAGGAAATGGCCCTTGGTCCTCCATTCTTCCAAGCAGAACAAACACAGAGCCCGACAGGGGCCGCTGGGTAGATTTTTATTGTATTCTATTTTATTTATTTATTTATTTATTTATTTGCAGCTCACAGAGATCAAATGCAGTCATCTGTCTCCTGCTCCTTATGATATTTTCCTTTTTGAATGCCTTCCTCTCTGGACCTGTCAGCATGACATGCTGTGTGTGTTCAGCTGCTTTTGAAGGAGGTGACTACATGCGCCAAACTGAATTCACCAGTCTAATTTAACGCCGAAGCTTCAGACTCAATTTCCTCCTCCCGAGTGGGAATTTGCAATTCACAGCAGCGTGAGTGCCCCGACCCCCCGCCGCTTAAACCATGTTCAATAAAAACAGTGGTTTGAATAAAAGAAGCCCTAATTAGAGCCTGCTGACTGCGCACTTGTGTGCCAACAGCGGGGTAATTAACACGTGGCCAAACTGGGCCCTTTCCCCTGCTCTCCATTGGAAAAGGTGCTTAGTGGAAGATCTCAGATGATGCGCCTGTCGCTACCAGCAGCCGCCAGCAAACTTCACTCATATCCTCGTTAACCCTCCCTTGATACTTCAAGCCCTTCAATTCATCTAGGTTTGAGGTGAAGGGTGAAATGCTAAGAAGCAACACTGCCGAGCCCGAATCGACAGCTTTTTTTATTTGGTATACAAAGTGGTGTGTGATTGTCATCACATAGCTCAAGAATACAACGTAGCGTCGTACTTACTGTTTCTCATTTCACACCTTGCACACCAACAAAGTACAAAATGAAATGTAGTCTTATGTCGCTTCTTGTAAGATCCGATACAAGGCCTGCCTTGACAAATAAAATTATGCAACTTAGGTTGTGATGTATTTAGCCTACCCGATTGTTAAAAATGTTTGTAACCGCTCTCCGTCTGTTGTACACCACTGGTAACTACAACAGAATCATTTTCATTGCTAAATATAAAAGAATAGAAATTGGTTTTAAGACGAGTTTTAATAAAGGAGAGCGAGGGGACTTCTCCAGCATGTCTTTGACTTTGGAGTTGGCTGTCTTGTTTTCTTTGGCCTTGGCAAGATGGGACTCCTTCACTGAAGGCTCTGAAGTCTGGCCTCCGGGTCATACTCGAAGATCCGCAACTCATCACCCGTGACGACTGTCCCTGGCAAGTCATTATCACTCACGCTGCTATTTGCTTGATGACCTGACACAGAGGATATGTATGTAAAAGCTAGTGGGAGGAAACAGTATGCAGAGAGCTTAGGTCACACGTCGTACTCAAGGGCGATTGATTACGTTTGTCGAGAAAAATCTCGGGTTGGAAAATATATTTCGTGACACCAGTGCTTGAACTCTTCTTTCACTTTTTTTTATTTTTTATTAAAGCAACAAAAATATAAAAAATCGTAACAACAGTGGCAGCATTGAGGCATACAGTTTGCTTTTTCACTAGTCTAAGTTGGGTTTTATTGCCGAGTCCGGTATGTTCTGTATGTCGGCACTGTGAATAATGTGACTACCATTTCGCCTTTCTGCAGTCAGCTTTGATGTCACAAAGGCCATTTATCATTAGCAGCAGTTGACAGGTCAGGTCCATCCTCGCCACGTGTCTGCTTCTGTCTGTGTTTGCTTACGCTGGCATTTATTCAGTGACACGCGTTAGGCCTATGTCATGGTGGGTGTCAAATCCTAGCCGCTTGGCCCAGACCCTGGCAGTAACGAGGCTGCCGTCAGCAGGCTGGACACTTAACTCATTCACTCCCAAAGACGTTTTTAAACGTCTTTTCAGACTTGGTCCACAATTGGCTGGTACTGAATGAGTTAAGACACAGCAGCCCGCGTCCCACCGCCCCCACGTGCAGGCCCCCTGCACACTGTTCCCCATTGTTTTCCACACCCGAATAAAAGGGGGAATTAATTAGCCAGACGGTGCAGAGGGTTCCGAGCTCCGGAGTTCAGCCCCGTGCCTCATCCCTCCAGCCGACTCGGCTCACGGTGAGACTGAGTGGAACAGCCAAGAGCATATGAAAGAACGAGTTGCTGCCAGCAACTGAGACATTTCACCTTGCTGCTCCATCAACTTGGTGTAAACTGCCTTCTCTATCTACTTCACTTTAACCGAATGGGCTAGTCGAATAGTAATAAACGTCAAGTCAGTTCAGTTCAATTTGCCGTGGCACAGTTCAGAACGATTCAATCCTGGTCTTAACACTTACCCTAATTTTCCACTCCAGAGTGTGCCAAGATGATGTGACCTGGCATCATTCCAGCGTGACGAATTGCCGCATCCACATGGAGATTTTTTTTTTTGCCTGATTGAAGATCTCTGCGTAACTGTTTACATGTGACGTGATCTCTTCTGATCTGCCGGCTACATGCGCCACTACATGAATCAGAACAGCAGCGTGGCACGCAGATCGTCGTAAACATCATATGATTTATCAAGATGGAGTTCAGTCATCTATTTAGCTGAGTAGTTGTGATTGTTTTTCCACTTAATTAAAGCAATAGCTTGATTAAAACAAAAAAAAAAGTTACAATTACTTTAAAACAAGATCTTACCATTGCAAAAAAAAGCTCAGGTAGGCTCCATGTAAACCCGACGATAGACTGGCCAGGTTGATGTTGAAATTGATGCGATTCATCAAAAAAAAACAAGTCTCGCTTGTGTCATTTTGTTTCCTCCACTTTGACATTGAAAACGGTCTGCTCAGGGCTCCAACACGTTAGCAAACATCTACATGATCATTTCTTTGTTGAATCCATTTAAAATGGGCTCATAAGTGAGCCACCTTCTCACGCCGTCACGTACAAACACCATCTTGTTCACACTGTCACTTTCAGAGGTTAAATTTAGCCCGGATGCTTAGCAGGTGTAACAAATGTCTGCTCGCTGGAGCCAGCAAAGTCTCCCCGCAGATCAGAGCCTGTGTCTGATTACTCGTCTGCTGTCATGTCGCGCTCGTCGCGTTGTTTTTCTTTTTCCCCGACGCAGCCACGGGGAGCGTCATTGCCACATCGCCACTTTTTACCTCAGCCCCAAAGAGGTTATTTTTCACCCGCATGTGTTGCTTTGTTTGTTCGACACACGGGTATGGATGCCACCAAAAGTACCGGGGCGGTTCTCATGATAAGGGGATCTCCTTTAAGATGTGGGATGAGGATTATGTGATTGAACACGATGGATTTGTCGTTGTGGCTCGTGACCCATCATCAGATTGTGATCTTTTCCGCCAAAGAATTCTACTTAAATAATAGTGTTTCCAGTCAATGATATTTTTTTCCCCCCCTCTCTTTTTTTTCCGTCATAGGGGACACCACACAAAGGATGAGATCCACTCCTTTCCCAACCCCTGCAGAATTGGATGCCTATGCTAAAAAAGTTGCCAACAACCCCCTCACCATCAAAATCTTCCCCAACAGCGTCAAGGTCCCGCAGCGGAATCACGTCCGGCGTACCGTCAACGGACTGGACACGTCGGGCCAGCGCTATAGTCCTTACCCTTCCTCTCAGGCCAGCGCCAAGACTGGCCTCCTCGCCATTGTCAAGGTGCCCGCCGTCAAGGGCATCCTCAAAGATTCCGCCGGCGGCCGAGCGCGCCTGCACCCCGAAGTCATCATGAACCACCTGAGGGGCCCTTACCAAGTGACTTCGACCAGCACTTTAAACCACCGCCACCCGACTCTGCCCAACCTTCCCCAACCTCAGCAGAGCTTAGCCCTGCAACCCCACGACGCACCTCAGACTCTACAGATGCCACTGACTCAGCAGCAGAGCCTCAGACGTGCTCTCCCTGTGGCCCAGCACTCTCAGGGCCCACCTAGACTGCAGACTGTCTCTCAGCACCAAGCCCTCGGCCACCCGCAGGTCCCCTCCGCCGTCCTCCTTCAGCAGCAGCAGCAGCAGCACCTTCTGCAGCAGCCGCCCGGTCTGCAGGGGAGCAGAGAGCTGCCGGATGGCGACGCACCACCTAACGTGACCGTCTCTACCTCAACCATTCCACTCCCGATGGCCATGGGGCTGCACCAGGGCCACCAGCCAGACCTGAGCACCATCGTGCACCAGATCAACCAGTTCTGCCAAGCTCGGGCCCAAGGTGCCGGATCAGCCTCCATGTGCGAGGGCCAGATCGCCAACCCCAGCCCCATCAGTCGCAACCTGCTCATCAGCGCTTGCTCCAGGGTGTCCATGCACAACAACTCCGCTGCTGCTGCTGCTGCTGCTGCCGCCGCCGCCGCCGCCTCCGCCGGCTTCCCCCCGCACAACTGCATCCACGGCCCTCAAGAGAAAGTCATCATCCAGGCGGGAGCCCACCCTTTACCCAGCATGACCATGAACCACTTGCCTTCCAACCACACGGATCTCAAGCAGCAACAGCACCCTCAACAGCATCTGCACCCAAAACCCAATCAGCAGCTGCAACCGAACACACCACAACACAAGATGCGCTCTTGGAATCCGCATCAGTTGACCCACGTGCCCCATATTCCCAATGGTTGCAAGCAGCCTACCAGAGAAGCCACCTTTCACTTGAAGGGACTGGCCTACCCCGCAGAGATGTGTGTGGGGCAGCCGTACATGCTGAAGCCCCCTATAGAGAGGCCCACCCCGTCTCCGCCCGTCAACCACAATGGCATGACGGGCCCCGTGGCGCACTACCCCAACGGTCACTACTTCCAGTCCCACATTTGGAACAGCAGCATCCTTCCCACACCCAACAGTGACAGCTCCGGGTCTCAGGACGTAGCCATGCCATTCCACGGGGCGGGCCCGGGGGGCTGCACCGCACTTGAATGTGGGCCCCCGGGGGCTCCCCATTACAGGCTACCGGCGAGCTCCTCCACCTCCTCTGCCCAGACTAATCTGATGCAAACCACAGATTACATGGGTGGGGACTTCCAGACGCCCTACTTCCGCGATCAGAATCTCGGGTTAATGGGCAAGATGCACAGGCCCCCTGTGAGCAGGGTGGGGCCGGAGGTCGGGGATGGGAGAAGCGCTCTCATCCAGCATCCAGGGTACAGATAAGCTATGGCCTTGTCTCCGCAAGTTATCAGCCCCGCCCCCACCCCTTTTGTTTAGTCTTAAGAAAACACATGATAACTTGACAATACTGCTAATCTTAAAGAGGGTAAACGAATATATTTAATTCATGAAGAACAGTACTTTTCTTTTTTTTTCCTTTCTTTGATCAGTCTTGCAAGTGATCAATTGTTTTTTTTTTCTCTCTCTTTGTTTTGGGGTTTGTGAATGCTTCTACCTGGAACATTTAGGAATCATGTTCCCGATTTTTTTTTCCCCCCGCACTTCTGCTGTGTGTCATTCCTGCTTTTTGCTCCACCGTACATGCGTGTGCCTGGGTCTCGACAGATCCTGTGTTAGTTCCACTTGACGCGTTTGCAAGGGTTTCTCAAGCGCAAATAATTCCTCGCCGGAAAAAAAAGCGGCAACACCTATTGTCGGATGTGCCGCGAGAAACTTCTAACTCCGACCTGTCAAGTAGACAAGGAAAAGACTTTTTCCGTGCGTAATAATCTTGTTTGAAACAGCAGCCGGAAACGTGTGTGTGTGTGTAAGTACGCAGAGCTTTTACTATTTTCAGATGTCGTTATTTATTTGTGTAATAGGACTATTGAAACTTGATTCCTTCCCGTCGCGTACAGACGAACGCAATCGTTTGTAACAAAGCAAGGACCCCGCAGGGAGAGTACGCGTTGCCATGGCGATGGGCTCTGTCCTGCTACAAATGCTGCAATGAATTCAGGTGTTTTTCGAAAGCCCTGCGGCCGGGCCGGGAAGGCCTCGGTTGCGAGGTTGGGAAAAGTTTCGAGCAGAAAGGTCATAAGCGCTAAAAGACGGCCCGAGTCAAACGAAGACGGCGCTCAACGTAAATGAGAGCACTCCCAACAGATTGGGTTGAAAACACAACACAGTATTCACATTCCTCCTACTATGCGTGGATGGAGTACACTGGACCCCCCCCCCCCAAAAAAAAAATGTACAATAATTAAAAAAACAATTGACATCATCACAATTCAGAAGACAGTTGGAGTAAAAAAAAGCTCCCTTTCCAAAGGTCTTGTTGCCGTTTATGTTGAGCGCTGCGTAAAGGGAGCCATTTTCGTTCGCAAAGCATTATTCCGTAAACCCTGACAAATGTATTACTTGAATGTGGAGCTGATCGGTGTTCAAGGCGATACAATCGATGTGAGTACAAAGTGTTACTAATGTCACGTGGGATCGAACCTCGCGCGGTCGAATCCCGAGTGAAAAGTGTGTTTGCTACTGATTGTGATGTGAAGACCAAATTGATCACTTGCAAGATGACGCGGACAGAAACAAAGCAGACTTTTTTTCTTTTTTTTTACGTTGGAACAGCAAACGCATTGTTTATTTTATTGTACACTGGCTTACCTACTAGACTACTGTAACATTTAAACTTTAATGATTGTGTGTGTTGACAGCTCGTGTGCGCGTGTGTGTGTGTGTGGGCGCGCGCATGTGGTTGTGTGTCTCTGTGTGTTTGGTCATCATTGCGCCCATGTTTTGTTCACCTACAAACCCCTAAAAAGCCTTAATTGTTTGGTCCTTGGACTTTCCTTGAGCATGGTTTTAATGAAAACCCCCAAATAATAATAAGAAGGAAAATGGTAAGAAAACACAGACACAGCGCTTTTTTTGGGGGGGAGGGGGGATTTTTTTTTTCCCCCGGTCTTTTTATTTTCTATTGACGAGACAGAGCAATTTCTTAGACATTTGTTATGGGACGCAAGAAAAGGAATGATGTTCATGATACTATGTTTTTAGCAATGTGTAGTTACAGAGCTGTAACCCCCCCCCCACCACCACCACCACCCCATCAGTTTCAAAGCTTCAGTTTTGCAGTTGTGACTATTTATAATACTTGATTTGCTTGTTATTTAAGTCGCCCCCCCCTCCTGTTCTGTTGCTGTGAAAAGGAAGAAGGTCCATAGCCTATCTTTTTGTCATTTGAAGACAGATAAGAAGCAAGCAAAGCGCGTGAGAGTTGTGCTACTCTTTTTGTAATATTGTAATAATAAAATAAAGTTCTAATTTATGCTTTTGCATGGGTCTGAGACAATGCTTGGACTATACAGTGCGTTCCTTTGCAAACAGGAACAACGGCATAACAAAAATAGACAGGTACCCGCCCGCACTCAGTTCTGAGCACCAAATGTGATGTTTGTCACACTAATTGCCGCAGCAATCTCACACCGTTTGATTCAGGCCCGCCACCTCCAAATAGCGACTGGAAGTCGAAGCGAGATTGTGCGAGATTAAGCTTGCCTGGCTGTGATGAAATGGAACTTGTATCAAGGCTGGAATTAGGACCTTTGTGATTCACTACTGATAATGGCCCTTTTCGTGCTACTCAAACCAAGACTGATGCAATTTTTTTTTCTTTAATTATGTGCATTGTTTCATGCAGACTAAAACACAAACTCCTATTTTACAGACATTTCCTTTCAAAATCAACTCGCATTTGCTATTCAGTCCGTTTCCCGTGTTCACACTGGAAAGTTGCTCATCTCTGTGGACTTGGGTCCTCCTCGCCTGATCTCTGCAAATAAGCCTCTCCAGCTCCTCCCTGTGGAACCGAAAAGAAAATCAAGGGGATGAAACGACTCATGATCATGTCAGTGTTTCCCAATTTGTATTGAGCTACGGCATATATTTGACGCTAGAAACAAAATGTCACCCAAAAAACGGATTTACTTTCGTTTCAAAGTATTCACAAATGTGCTTGGTTTGAAATATGGGTCTTCATGCTTGAACACAAAAGGTGTTCATCCAGCGACTCTATTCCGTCGTAAGAATAGCAACAGATGGATACACACGTTAGTTGGACCTTTTGCCATCTACTTGGAGGGCATTTAATTGCGCTTCATGTCACTGGCACAGATAAGTGGGGGGGGGGGGAGATACACTCTTCGAAGTTCATTTTTGGGCCAATCGAGTGAAATAATTGTGCCACTAGTTGGGAATCACTGATCTATTTATTTATTACCTCTGTCTGTCCGAATCGGCGCGTCATCTGGCGTGAGCTGTCGCCTTCGATCCCAGTAGCCGGGCTCCTCGTGGACATTGCTCAGGTGGATGTTCCATTTGTTCCAGTTGACTTCCTCCACTCTGCCACGACGGGAGGAAACATGCTCCAATTAGAGGTAAGTTGTTGTTCAAGATGACTGCAAGCGTCTTTTAGTTTTCAACATTGATTGACACCTCATTGCCTGCAACAGGTTAACGCGTGACTCAAGTGAGGGCAGCATCGTGAGCAAGTGGTTCGCGGTCATTGACGGTTCTGAAGTTGGGTGTTCAATCTCAATTGAGGCCAGTTGCTCCCACACGCACGCACGCACAAACACACACACACACACACTCTAATGGAAAACAGGAGTTGACCCAATACTTAGCTTAAAATATATTAAATAAAAATCAAACAATATAGCAATAGTAAAACAAAATTAGATTTAGGGAAATAAATAGGAGGTGGGGGGCGGGGGGACCTGAAGAGAACCATATTGCTAAATTGCCTTTGTATCTCATGGTTTTTCTCCACAAGGGGGCGCACCTTCCCCATATAAACACCAACGATCGTCAGCCATTAATCATGTTCCATACTCGTCTTTTTTTTTTTTTCTAAACCGAGGTCTTTTTTTTTTTTTAATGTCACTGTCCTGGGGACCTCACCCCACCAGGAGCAGACTGCTCTCCGCCCATCTCCTCCACCAACATGGGAAGATCACAGTTATTGTCGCCCATAGTCCGACAGTCATCACCCCAGATGAGACAAAGGACAATTTTTGTGATGAGCTAGAAGATGCCATCCAGGCAGCCCCCGACCATGACATCGTCATTGTCCTCACCGATGCCAACGCCACAATCTCCACCCAAGACCACACCCTCCCAGCTGTAACAGGCCCATTTTTCATCGACAGCACCATCAATGATAATGGCCAGCGACTATACAATCGATGCAGAGCCACCGACCTCTGCACTGCCGATACATGGTTTCCCCGTAAGCGGAGGCATCACTGGACCTGGTAAAGCCCTGATGGAAAAACGAAGAAAGCAATTGACCACATCCTTGTTTAACCTACGATGGAAAAATTCAATCAGCAACTGCCGTGTCTACAGTGGTGCACAACTTGGCATCACGCTCCTCTCCATTCCCGGTAAACTTTTCATTCGCATTCTACTCACCCGAGCTCTACCTGCAACCAGAAGCAGACGCCGCCAACAACAAGCCGGATTCATGCCCAACCGTTCCACAATCGAACACATCTCTGCTCTCCGACTCCTGATAGAAAAGGCTCGGGAGTTCAGAAAGGATCGGCACTTATTCACTGCTTTCATTGACCTCAAGGCTGCTTTTGACACAGTGGACCACGGGTCCCTCTGGAACATCTTAAAATCCCTCGGAATCCCAACCAAGATCACCACACTCTTCAAACAACTGTACCAGGGTGCGGAAAGTTGTGTACGTGTGAATGGCCAAGAGTGTCTACAATGCCTCAGTCATCTCCGTCCTCCTGTACGGCTCCGAAACCTAGCCACTGAATAACACTCTTGCGGCCAATCTTGATGGCCCTCAGGAGGATTGAAGGCATCTCGTGGACCGAGCACATCACAAATCAGACTCTTAAGAGACAAAACAAAACAGCCACCAGCCTCCCGTTGGTGCTGGTATAGCCTGCGGTGAGTGCGATGGTATGGCCATGTCATCCGCCTGCCCCAGGAACACCCAACCCGCACCATCTTGGCCTTCAACCCCCAGCAAGCTGGCTGGAGATGACCCAGCGGTGCCCCCCCGCACTCACTGGACGTAATAGCTCTGGACCTTGGGCCCTGCAATGTGACCCTGGAACAAGGTCAACACCTTGCCCACAACATCCAGATGGAGAGACCCGGTTGCAAGGGTTGGCTCTACATGCCATGAAGTGCAAGAGGACTAAAGAAAGAAAGAAAAACAGAAACCGCGGTCTGAAATGAATTCACTTTGGCATTCAAGGTTCTCTTCATCACAGTCAAAAGCTGACCTGAAACAGCGGCGGCAGTCTTGGTCAGAGGGCGTGCCCAGATTTTTGTCCACCCCACAGCGAAGTCTCTTCCTCACAAACAACGGCAACCTTTTCTCCATGTCCAGGATGGTGATTGCCCTCTGACAAAACGAAACAAAACAAAACCTGTCAAATCAGAGCTGCTGAGGCCGCGTAAGGTATGGCCGACCTGTAGCTTCCAGATGCTAGCGCTCTCCATGGTGATCTTCTCCACCGTGCGGTTCATGAGGGCAATGAGCATGTTCAGCAGCAGGATGTAAGTGAGGATGATGTAAAAGATGAGCAGTACGTAGAAGACCTCTTTGTACTGGTAGTGCTCGGTGAACTCCATGTCACCCATGCCGATGGTAAACTTGAAGAGCTGCAGCGTGGTGTAGGAGATGTTTCGGAAGGTGGGTTTGATGCACTCGGAGTTGGGGTGAAGCGGTCCGAAGAGGCGGCCGCTCTTATCAGTGGTGTTTCTCACAGGGGGCTCAATGAGCAGCGTGACCACGGCTGTGACACATGATAGAATGTCAACACACAACCTCAAAAAATACTTGGCTCTCCAAGTATGACCAATTTTTACTCTTTCAATGCTAGCCATTTTTTTCAAAAAAAAAAATCTATTGGAAGCAAGTAAATTTCGAGCATTCCTTCGTGATTTTTCAAAGCTCACAGAATGTTGTGGTTTATGTAAACACAGAAATTACCAAATGTAAGATTAGAATCTATTACAACCTTATTCCATTTTTTTTTAGTAATCAGCTGTCAAACATGGATGAGTTTCACCCAAATCATTTTTTGGACCCAAAAATGCCGAAAATAAGCAATTTTATGCTAATAGTTTCTGCTTGAGTAACGGCCTCAAACATCTGAAGAGTCCTTTTCTTTTCTGAGATAACAAGGAAATTGTGCTTTTGATGGCAAAATAATGTCTTTTAAATATTCACCACAGTAAGATTTTTACATTTGACAAACTTTACAAACTATTTGCACTCTATTTAGTACTAGTAGTAGTATTTAGTCGTGTGTGTGGGCGCGTGCGTGCTTAATAATTAAAACAGAGTTTGCCAAGATATTTCTCCTCTCATTCCAATTTTAAGAAGTTGATTGTCAATTTCCGTCACCGGTGCTCCTCACTATGATTCCCATTGACGACATTTCACTTAAACGGCGCTCAAAAGAGTTAAATTACAGTCGAATAAAAAGCCTCAGTGCTCAACAAAACAAAGGTTTGATTCCTAAAAAGACAATGGCTGGAAGGGTACCGGGAATAGGCCTACCTGCTGAGAATCCAAAGAGAAAGACGACATAGACAAATAGAAAGCGCAGGATATCGCTGAGGATCATCTGCAAGGAGGAAAAAAGCCGTTAGCGCCTCAAAGATCCAAAATTGCTTGCAGAGGGAATTTGTGTTATCGCGCTTGATGTACCTTCTGTATCATGACGCTGTAGATGCCCATGTGTTTGCTGCCCCTAGCGAAGTAGAGCAGGTTGACCCAGCTGAGAGCAAGACACAGCACCAGGAAGCCCAGGTATTCTTGTCTCCCAAAGATATAAAGGCCAGCTGCAGTCAGGAAAAGGACAGCCTGCAAAAAGCTGAAAAAGTCACAGAATGGACTAGAGCATCCAAAAAAAAAAAAAAAACATCCATCCATCCATCCATCCATTAGCTGATTTGCTTTTTTGTGACATTCTGCTCGGTGCTGTGCCACACAATTTTTCTCATGTAAAACAAGAGCCTTGGCTCAATTAATTTTGTCAAATGCATAAGAGCACCGCCCATCTGTTTGTTGTCCTCCATGAACCAGGAAGTAACCTGCTAACGACCAAACAAACATGATGCTCCACAAGTCTGTCGTGTAGATACTGTTTGAATGAAACTGCATCAGACCTGTGATTGGCTGCCAACCAGTCTAAAGACGAACCCTGCCAAAGTCAGTCAAGCCTCGCAGAAAATAGATGGATGGAACTTATGTGACCATTCGTAAACTATCACACGGGCCATCTGCATTGGATCAGTGTTACTTACAAAAGAATATCATAATAGCCATCAATCAGCAAGGTCTGCAGCTTTGGTCGTTTCCTCCTCAGATCTATTAACTACATTTCAAATTTTGATTATATAAATGGTTAAGGTGCCACATGTAAAATAAAAGCAAAAGAGATTGGACAGAGGGAATGGTACGTACCCCTATGAAAAAGAAAGAGCAGTTTGCCAACGTTATTAGGAGCTGTCCTGAAATATACAGGTAACCTGTAGCGCTGTGCTCCAGAGGGAACGGTGTCTGAAGACAACAAAAATGTTAACATGAGCGGAGTTGGGTCACCAAGATTGAGACCATAACAGTCCCCAGCAGCCACCTTTCCATCCTTCTTGTTGAAGGCCACCGCTGTGAAGATGACCAGGTACCCGAAGTAGACCAGAAAGTTGAAAAAAAATATTCGGCCCGCAAACCTCTTCCACTTGTCTTCCAGCAGTTGGCGCAAAGGTTCTGTCTGGAGCATCTCATGGCGGTTCTGGGAGCAGACACAAAACATTTAACGGCAGTCTAGACTCAGGTGAGACGGATTCACAGGGACTCACGGGGATGTCACTGCCATAGACGAGTATTTCCAGGGCCGACTTGTTGTCCGCCGAGTCCACTGAGGCCAAGTCGTACAAGGAGCTCTGGACCGGCCCGTAAACCCACTCGGTGAATTTACGAGACAAATGTTTGGTGTGCCTCTCCTGGAACTCGCGCCGCAGGATGTGTGCGAAAAGCTGCAAAAGAGGAACGCAGTTTAATACTATAACTTTCTACAGTATGTTGCTGCACTTATCGTTTTCAATACAATTCTGTACATTTATATCTAGTCAATTACTGTTTTTTTTAACTGATTATAGTATTTTTTTGAATTACTCCTACTACCAACAAAATACCGTATTTTTTTGTTGATCCAGTCAGTCGCATTTATTTATTTTATTTTTTACAATATCTGGATGTTGACCGATAATTATGATGCTATTTATTTTTATAAAATATAATTATTTTCAATTTAGAAATGTATAAATGAAATCCATATCTACAAAATTATGCACTCAATCACGTTTCATCGCGCAACTAACGTCGTGGCTTTTGAGCCTTACCCCACTTTTTCCAGTCTTGGCAGCCAGTTTGAGAGGCGTCAGGCCGTTGTTGTTTTCAATCTCTTCCAAGTTGAGTTTGGGCCTCAGCCGCGCCGTGGTGGTCAGGATGTGGTCGTACATGCTGGTGATGAATAACTCCGTGTTCTCCTTAGTGTTGTCAGCCACCACCACCAGGGCGTGTAGCACCGTGTTGCCTTGAGAGTCGGGTGCGTTCGCATAGGCCTGCTGGAACTCGTTGTCCAAGAGGTACTCCACCACGTCTGGCTGGTTCGTGCACGCTGCCAGGGACAAAGGGAGCTCACCTGGAGACCAAAAAGAAAATTGTGCTATCATTCTTTGGGTATGTTGACAAAAGCATGAACTGGGAAGGGGTTGAAAATGTGTGTTACAAATGGATGCTACAGGCTACAGTTAGCATGACAAATCTCTTGTGCACTTACCAAAGTAGAAATTGGGGCCTTCATGTTGCTGAAAGAATTTCCCAGAGGCTTTGGCGTGGACGTCTGCCCCTTTGCTGAGCAGAAGCTTGACGTAGCTCAGACTCCTCCGCTCAATTGCGATGTGCAGTGCCGTCTGCCCTGTTTGTTCATATCGAAACGAATGAACAACTTATGTATGAGTTTTAAGATTGTGGTTGTAGTTGGTTTCCAGTCCCTGATGGTGTAGTGGGACACTGACTTTGTCGCAGGCAGCATTGGCTCAGTTCCCACTCATGATTGTGTAAATATGCATGTGAACGACTGTCTGTCTCTGTATGTGCCAAGTGACATGGGAACCAGTCCAGGGTGTTTGTCCACCTTTTACCCAAAGTCACCTGGGATGGCGTCCAACTGCCCTTACCGTATTGGCCCGAATATAAGACGGTGTTTTTTTTGCATTGAAATGTGACTGAAAAAGTGGGGGTCGTCTTATATTCGGGGTCTAGACATTATACCCATTCACGACGCTAGATGGCGCCATATATCATTGAAGCGAATGCTGAACTTGACTTCCCAGGCCAAAGTGAACCCCTGGCACGAAGAATAAAAATAAAAATAGCGGTAGCACGAAGAAGAAAAAAAAATAGCGGTACAAAGGAAAAGAGAAGAAAATAATAGAAGAGACAACAGAAAATGGAGAAACGTAGTTACAATCTGGAGAAAAGTGGGTCAAAGATCGGCCAGGTTAACCGGCAGCTGAGGAAAAGTTATGATGTAATTTACATTTCAAAAACCAGAAGCCATTCATTGACGAATGTGATTGCACTTTAGATTTGAATGAGGCAAAATATCATGCTCTTTCTCTCAAATATATTGTTATAATCATTTATTTCAGATGTACTGTAATTCTTTTCTGTATAAAAATTAATTTGGTGTTCAAAAAGTCTTTTTTCAAACTTGAGTCTTGAAAAAGAGGGGGTCGTCTTATAATCAGGGCCGTCTTATATTCGGGCCAATACGGTATTTAACTCCCAACTTACCTTTATAGTAACGGTCGGTGTAAGCTGCGTTGACAAACTCTTTCAGGTCGCCCGTCCTCTCTGAGATGTCCAATAATAAGTCAACGGTCGGATTCTCGCCGCCTCGGAGGTGCAGGAGTGCCTTCATCAGGGCAGTTTTACCGTACGACTGATCTGTATGTGTCAAGCAATCAATCAATCACACACACATTTTCTTCATAGTCTTGTGTGGTCTGTCATATTTAAAAAAAAAAAAAAAATCAGCTAAGAGGTTAAAAATTGGTATGTGGGGACCCGTTACACGCACACAGTGAGTCGGTGAGTTTCTTCATATTTTGGTGCAGGTACTGAGATAGGCCGTCCAATTTCCTGATATCGCCGCTGGCCGCCGCTTCAAACAGCCTATCGATGTCAAACGTCTGACTGTCTCGCTTGCTGTTATCCTGATCCACACCTCGGATCTCCCTGCAAATCAAACACATTGGAATAGAAACAGCAACGTCAGGTTTGCAAGTTTCTATTTTTTTATGATTCTGGGTTATAGAGACTATTTTACCTTATTCTTGTGCGTCAGAGGTGAATGTGTGTTGTTTTGTGTGACGGGTTTTTGCGGGGTGTGAGTTTTTGTGGCGATTATGGGTATTACGTGTGAGTTTTTTGTTGCATGGGATTCATTTTTCTGTGTCTGTAGGAGGTTTTTGGTGTGTGGAAGTATTTTTTGTTTTGTGAGGTATTTATGTGTGTACATTTTTTTATCCTCATGTGATGTTTGTGTTGTGTGAGTGGGTTTTGATGTTTTTGTGAGAGGTTTCTCATTGCGAAATGTTGGTTGTGTTTGAGAGTTTTTGTTTCATGTTTTGTTCTTATTGAGTGTGAAATGTTTAACTACGCACGTTTTTTAGGTAATTGTGAGAGCTTGTTGTAACACGTGGGAGGTTTTTTATTAGCATTAGTGTGTGAAAGGTTTTTCCGGTGAGTGCAAGAGATTTGTGTTATGTGCGAGTTTTTTTTTTTGTGTGTGTTTCCTGTGAGAGGTTTCTTAGTGAGAACTGAAACTGTTTTTGATCAGTGAGGCCCTTTTTGGGAGGCGAAGTTTTTTTGTGGGTGAAATTTTTTGCTTTTGACGAGATGTGTGTGAGATGTTTAGGTATTTTTTGACTGTGATTTTTTTTTGCTCAGTTTTTTTTTGTGTGTTTGTGAGAGCTTTTTTGTTACGTCTCTTGGTGAGTAGAAAGGTTGCATCAGTTTTTTTGTTGAGTGTGAGGTTTTCTGTTGTATGGTATTTTTTTTTTCATTGTGTGACATTTCAATGTGAGAGAGTTTTCTTTTGACCCATGCGAGTTTTTTTCATAGTGTGTAACAGGTTCTTTGTTGTGCGCGAGAGGTTTCTGAGTGAAGTGTGAGTTAAGCTTTTAGATGCACGGACAGGAAGGAAAGTCTCACTTGTCAAAATTGAGATTGAATCGTATTTGAGGTTTGGTGTCCTCCATTTCCTCCTGGTAGTCCGTGTCCATGGGGGCTTTGGGTGCCTCGTGGCCCGCACTTAAAACAGACCCTAGAACATCTTGTTTTGGCGATTTGCGTTGACATTTCTCGGCCTCTGTCCTGTCGTCAGCCTCCAGAGAGAAGGCGTACTTTTCGGACTTCTTCATATCCGCACCCAGATGCCTGCAACAATCGTAAAGGAAAAAGCTTTCAAATGAAAGTGTTGAGGTGGTGGTCGAGGGAGGACTCATGATAAGCTTGTTTATACAGTATGTGCATTTTAAACACAGAGATTACAGACAGGTGATGAGGTCTCCTGCAAAGTGAGGATGGGATCAAATGCATGCATAAAACAATAACGTCTGATGATATTTTCATTCGGCGGCAGTTGGCCGAAACGTTAACAAATCCGTCTCACAGTTCTGAGGTCTGGGGTTTGAATCTGGGCTCCTGCTTTCATATGTGGCATTAGCACGTGCTCCCCGTGCTTGCGTGGAGTTTCTCTGACTACTGTACTCTACCCCCACCACATGCACTGTCACCCCTTCTGGTGGCAATGAATTTATCCATCCATCCATCCATTTTCTAAACCACTTATCCTTGCAATGGTCAGGGGTGTGCTGGAGCCTCTCCAGGCTGTCTTCGGGCAGTAGGCGGGGGACACCCTGAACCGGTTGCCAGCCAAACACAGGGCACACATAGACAAACAACCATTCGCGCTCACACCTATTCTCAATTATGGACTATTTAGAGTGTTCCATTAACCTGCCCTGCATGTAATTGGAATGTGGGAGAAAACCGGAGTACCCGCAGAAAACCCACGCAGGCACAGGGAGAACATGCAAACTCCACACAGGAAGACCATGGGCCGAAATCGAACCCATTACCTCCACACTGTAAGGCGGACGTGCTAACCAGTTGAACACCGTGACGCTCCCTTGCCCGCCCCCCCCCCTTCCCCCCAAAAAAACCCAAAAAAAACATAAGTGAAGCTAATGAAAAGTGATTATTTATCTAAACGTGCCTTGCGACTTACTGGCGACCATTCCATGGTGTAGGCTGCCTCTCGCCTGAAATCAGATCTGATAGGCAGCAGCAATGGCGAAAGTGGGTACACACTCACTTCATTAGGAACAAATGCACCATTCTGGTTAAACATTCAGCTTTTACAAGTGTATCAAGAGACCCCGTACAAATTAATGGATACACTCTTACAGCATGTACGCGAGCTTCAAACATCCATTTTCCATGGTAGGCTGCCTCTCGCCTGAAATCAGATCTGATAGGCAGCAGCAATGGCGAAAGTGGGTATACACTCACTTCATTAGGAACAAATGCACCATTCTGGTTAAACATTCAGCTTTTACAAGTGTATAAAGAGACCCCGTACAAATTAATGGATACACTCTTACAGCATGTACGTGAGCTTCAAACATCCATTTTCCCTTTATGCTCGTCCTCTTTAGATTTGTTGATAGTTTGCACCGCCGAGCCAGTTTATATCACTGTACTCTATAGTTTCCTATGTTGCGTGTACATTAGCATACTTTCAGACTGTTAAATGAACATAATAAAACGGGAGAGAAATACATTCTCTACTCTTCTTAACAAAGTCTGAGAAGTTGAATTGTATTTGTGGAATGCGGACAAAAGCGCACACAGTTAAGTTACCATGACCACAGTTCACCTCAGCAGTAGACATGTGATGTTTGCCTTGCACTGCTTAACAAAGAGTTTGTTTATGTATTAAAAAAAAAAACATCTTCATGACTGCAGCACACATTGTGTGCTGAGGACATAGCCTCCCTTATACAATCTATCACAATTAATGGGGATGGGGGGGCTGCAAATTCCTAGGACAAGTTAAAAATATATATTATTTTCACCTAAAAAAAACATCTTCATGACTGCAGCACACATTGTGGGCTGAGGACATAGCCTTCCTTATACAATCTATCACAATTAATGGGGATGGGGCAAGGGGGCTGCAAATTCCTAGGACAAGTTAAAATATATTATTTTCACCCAAAAAAAGCATTATGTAAACGATAATGGGAAGTTGATATTCTTGTTCCCATTTTCTGTTTTAAAATGGGGGAATAGATGACTCAGCATGGAAACTGAGAGATGCATTAAGAGGAACGTGATAGCGGGTAAGATTTAAATGGAGCAAAGCGATTAAAACGCAATGAAATTTGCATTTGTATTCATTCATTCATAAACCATAAATAGACCACGGACAAAATTTGCTTTGCCTGACTCACTGTTGTGTGTGCGCAAAAGGACTTTGCGAACGCTCTGGGTGGAGATAAATATAAATGGAATAAATGGTACTTTCTCAATCGACTTACGACATCTGTAATTAAATATGTTACTTTACAGCACTCACTTTTCAACAAAAAAAAACACGACCACAGTCCATGTCCATGTCTAAGGATCACAAGTTGGGGGGGTGAAATAACGTCCTGAAAACAATAGAACTGTTCTTACTGCCCGGAGACAGCTGGGATAGGCTCCAGCACCCCCCGCGACCCTAGTGAGGATTAACCGGTTCGGAAAATGAATGAATGAATGCTTCCCTTTGATGTCGCGATTTCCTTTGGAATCCAACGAAACAATTTGAAAATCGTGGGGGAGAAAATAAAAATCATAATAATCTGTGAATTGACTCACCACCACAAGCGATCTGAGATTCAACTTCCAGATGATCGTTTTCCTCACATAAAAAAATAACACAATGAGATCACCGTTTGGTCTGCTGCAGACGGTTTGGGGCGGGTATTGTGTCCGAAGATGCTCGCTTAACGCAACACGGACAAGAAGAGCGTGTGGAGGAGGGGGGTGGGGGGGGTGACCCGCCCTGGAGAATATCAGAGTACATTAGTGTGGAGCTGTAAGTGCTTGAAATGAGGATGTATTGACTGGCTGTGCACGGGCCCACGCACATACATTATGTCTGACTTTGGCTGAAGAACATGAACACACACACACACACAAAACCCCACCCCACACACACCCACACACACACACACACACACACACACACACACACACACGTTCCAAAGAAAACAAAACTAACCAAACTACACCCCAAAATTGAAAAGGGGCACTATTTTCAAGATAATCCTACAGTATGATTTAACATGATAATAATTGCCCAGTCAGCAAAATTGGTCTGGCCCAGCTCTGGCACGGACACGGCACGACACTCGGCCCACATACCGCAATGAATGACGGTCCTGCAGTGGCCCGGGTCTGGCATCCATGATCCGGCCCTACTCCGGCCCGACGCTGGGCCAGAACAGGTTCCTGATATCAGCCTTAATTCAACCTCAACTAAGCCACATCTTTCATGAGCCATATTTGACCCACATTTAAAAAAAAAGTCTCAAAAACAACTGTTATAAAAATATGTTTATTGTCATACTTTGCGAACCTCACATATAACTCCACATCCACTGGAAAAATGCACTTTTCTTTATTTAACAGTGAACACAAAGTCCAAATTGGGATGCAGCTTCCTC